ATGAAGGCCCGCACGGCACACGAGGGGGTGGGTGGTCAGCACCACGCCCGGCCGCCTTTGTCTCCCCAGTGGCGATGTTTACACACCGCACAAGGTAATCATTTTAAGGCTAAGTCGACCTACTAGGGGAGGCCCAGAACTGGTACAAATAATCGTCACTGGTGATGGTCATGGGCGGGAATCTAACTCGGGCCGCCGGGTTTGTAGCGCAACGCGCTAACCGCTACCACTACCGCTCCCCAACAAAGGCACTCACACAGGCACTCGCGTACGCACTTGATCTCGGCACGATCCACTCACCCCATCAACGCGAGCGTCGGGACTACGTATAAACCACCACGGTAGCGCTGACAAAAATATAAATAAACCGTCCCTTCCCGATTGTCACTCTCGCCAACACAACGCTAAAAGCCATCGCTGTTTACACGTCCAGGGTGGCAGGCTCCGTATTTCCTCACGCTAGCTTTAATTACGGTGGCTCCCCTGGAAAACGTTGTGGAGGGGAAACTGCTCCCCAGCCGCTCGGCTCCTCTCGCCGATAGCGGTCATTCGTCCCCGCAGCGGTCGATCGCCTCTCTAGCCCCGGGACAGAGAGCGGTCGGACAGCACGGCACGGGAAGGCCCCCCCCCCCGCTCCATAAATAATCAAACAATCTGAGCCTCCGCGGCTCTCGCGGGTGCCATTCTCAGGGCCGCCGTCGCCGCTACCGCCCACTACCGCGGGCGCTCGCGGAAAAAAGTCGCGAGTTGTTGAGAGTTTATCCGCCGTGCAGCACGTGGGCGGTGCGCCAGGACCAAGGAGGAAGGGAGCAGTCATGGATTTTCGTTCTATTAATCTGGTGGGGCGGCGGGGGCAGTGGTTTTATATACCTGTACCGCAGCTACACGTGCGGGGCGAGCGGACGCGTGGATGCTGCCGTGGGGGTAACGGCGAGAACGCTGTAATCCGATGAGTGGAGCGGCCGCCGCCCGGAAAATATTTTAAAATATTCCCAGAGCCGCCACGCCGCGTAAACTATTAAACTAAGACTAAACAATTTTTTTCCTTTACCAAGTAAGGCCCACTGAACTGTATGGTTCTCTTTCAGAAGTGACCTGGCCACAAATGACAGCTCAACGAAGTGCCTTATCATGCGGAAGTTTAGAGCAGCGAAAAATACTCTAAACGCACGTTGATTCTAAACGTGGAGAGAAAAAACCAAAGGACCTTGAGCAAAAATCTACGCGACCACGGGGAGAGACACGCACAATCCCCAGATATACAGGCATTGTCAGGGTCGGGATAGAACCCACGACCTCCTGCATACTAGGCGAGGTCATTAACATCTCGCCACCGTGGGGCCCCTCGCCACCGTGGCACCCCATCCAGCACCACCTCTCTTGGCTGCTGGGGCTGTCGCTATTTACTCCGGTCATCCTCGCAGCGGCTTTTGGCTGGCCCATCGAACAAAGACGGTCACGGCATTACGCACTTTCGGATGCGCTTCTGCGGCCATCTGGAATACTCTTCCTTTCGATATTAGGAAGCCACTGGAGCTATGCACAATCTAGATTGAGAACTAACTGCTTTTTGTGTTTAGTTTGTTGTCCTTCCCCCGCACCTCCGTTTAGCAACGGTTGGCTACGTACGGTGCAAAAGAAGTTCAGCATACATACATTGCTTGTCATTTGCCACCTAACTTTGGTTTCCCTGTGAAATGTAAAATATTCTGATTTAAAGCTTTCGTGACTGCAGTATTATTTTGTTGTTTCCCTTCAACGTGACTTTACCGAAAAAACTAAGTATATGTAAAATATTCGTCGAGAAATTAGGTCCCCCCATCCTTCACATCGAAGCGCACACCTAACAATGTATTGTTCCGCTCACGTCCATTACGCAAAGGTTTTAGGTTGCTGCCTCGACATAGCGGCTCGCGCGCGAGGACTTGCAGATCCCGAAGTTGCCGGTTGCACCCGATCTCCCGGTGAGGTCGTTGAAACAATCAGCAAATTTCTTAAATCTACCACACTCTTCGGCCTGTGTTCCCCCACAGCATTACCAACGGGTACACACCACAGCCAAGGCCATCAGCAAGTCGGTTACAAGCGGTGGGGTAATTTGTGCGTACTCCCGGCTCTTCCAAAACATCTGGCAAGCACGGGAGAGTAGGCCAAAACACCCTCTAGCGGATGCCATTTCCGTCAACGATGGTACGAGCAAGCAAGTGCAGGGCTGCACCTTTGCCTTCAACGCACGCAGCGCGCACGCGCTCCTCCTGTCCTCCTCCTCGTTTTTATACGACGCCAGACCAGACGCCGAGACGCAGGCCGTGGTGCCGTCGATGCAGGGTTATGCCCGGCTTCAACGGCGGGCCCGGCGGAGAGAGGCATTTAAGTCGTGTCAATTCCCAGGAATGGCCAAAAGCATAAGATCCCCACTGTATGACGTCGCGCGCTCGACACCGCGCGCCGTTCAGAAAACGCTCGATCGAGCAAGCGGCGGCGGCTCTTGCCCCACGGCCACTTTCGTCGGAGCGACGGAACCCGGAGCCTTCTGCAGCAGAGATGCACAAGAGAGACAAAGGTGCCCCCAGTTACCCCTTTTAGGCTATGGCAGCGAGCGTCCATTCAGGCCGGAGCAACGCGCAAGTGGGGGCGGTGGATCCAGCAGCACGATGCACGCCTGATCGCCTTTGTCTCTCCACGGTTTATTGTTGGCGCATTGCACAATGTAACCGCGTCCGGGCGGAGCTGACCTAAGGAAGGCTCGGTGGAAGTTCGGAGACCAGTTTCCACCGAGGACAGCAGCTGAACCCAGGTCACCGGGATTGGAGTGCAGTGCACAAACTACTAGAGCTGTCGCGGAGCTCACGGGACACCTGATCCGTGTATGTACGCACGTACGTTGAACTTCTTTCGCACCATACGTAAGCCGACCACGCTAATCGCAAGTGCGGGGGAAGGACAAAAAAATGAACACAAAGAGCAGTTCTAAAAGAAATGAGTTTTCAAACCGGGCTGTGGCAAACAAACCATCGCATCGTTTGTGCTTACACTGAATTAACCGACGGCCCCTTCGTCAATCCACTGCTGGATGAAGGCCTCCCCGCACGGTGTCGCCACGGGGGTTGTGTGACCACACTTCATCACATTGGTCAGCGAGGGTTGGTGAAGAGAGGGGTGGCAGAAACACCACTGCAGAAAATACCTGCTGTTGACGTTGGTCTTAACCGGCAATCAAACTCAGGTTGTCAGGCTCATAGCGCAGTGTGCTCACCACCGCTACTCCCTATCTGTGTTTCATCATCATAATCATCATCACCAGTTATGATCTATCGACTGCTGTGTTTGTTGAACAAATTGTATGTTGTTAAAAATCTGCCAGTGAGTGCAAAATGAAATATTAATTATGAGACACGATGTATGTTTGGATCAGCATTAATCTTAAAGATGTTTAGTTCAGATCGATTGGATTACATCCTGAACAAACGATTGGACCATCTTTGAAAGTGTTTTGATAAATTTTCCTCTTCGGGTGTTGTTAGTTAACAGGGTTTGACAGTGAGCACGATCTGCCAATCGCAATGTATTAATGCCAACATCAAATCACATTTACAAAATAATAAAAACTGACCAGATCAGTGTGGCGTCGAACTCGGCTCAGATCTCCTCTGACCGCGTGTGATGGGACGCATTCTGACCTCGGCCGTGTAACACTCCTTATTACGTCGCCACGAAGCCAGAAGCCTCAGTTTGATTCCTGGTCACTGACAACATCAGTGGCGATTTACATCGCAATCGCACGGGGGCCCTCCTCTTCGCCAATTCACGCCCGAGAAGCGTGGTGAAGTATGGTCCAGCAACTCCTACGACCCACTCGGCGTGCGGGAAGGCCTTCATCCAGCAGTGGCTTGACATGTGGCTGTACGTTGTTTATGACTGCTGCTGGTGCACGTGAGCATGCGTACAAGCGTGCGCACGAAGTACAAGAGCGATGATTTATATGAACCCCCCCCCCCCCCCCCCCCCCCCCGCATTTGTCCTGTACGAGGGGCGCCAACGTTGCTGGGCTGGCGCGCGATCGCGCACCCCCGCATTTCAGACACAAAACTCCGCCAAAGAGCGATGTTGCGGCAAAAACACGTGGCCATCCATCACGTTCTCCCAGCGTCATTAAGCAGGGGCCGGGGTGAAAGGAAACGTATTTCTTTTCTCGCTCATTCGCTCCCCCCACCCCACCCCTCAGCCCCCACCCATCCGCCCCCCCCCCACCCCATCTCTCTCTCTCTCTCTCCCTTCTCCCGCCCGAGCCTTCCCGTGCTCTCTTCATTAACTGTTTCTTAATGGACTGTCTGACCTCAAAATACTGCTTGTCAACTCGAAAATGGCCCGCAGCCACGGGGGCGAGCGGGCACCGCCCGGCCGTTAGCGACGGATGCCGAGCCCCCGATCGGCCGCGTGCCGGGGCGCTTCCGCGCAAACACGCGGCGCGGCGCATCTTCTTTACAGCTCGGCGAGCGGCCGTTAAAGCCCTCGCCGGCCGCCCGCCCGCCCGCCCGCCCGCCCGCCGGCTTAATTTCAAGCCCGCCGCTGGGGCAGCCAACGACCGTCCGCCCGTCCGCCCGTCCGTCCGTCCGTCCGTCGGTTTCCCCGCGATCGCGACCCGGCGCTTCGCCGCGTCGCGCGCGGGCGTTTGCTACGAGCGCGATATTTGACTTTAATGGGGAGCGCGCGTGACCCCACGGCGGCGAGTTAGTTTATTTTCGCCCGGACGCGGCAACGGGGGGGCTTGCGCAGAAAGGTCGCGGTTTTCACGACGGCGTCGAATTTCTTTGGGGTAACAAAAAAAAAATGCAGCGTTTTGATCGTGCCCAGACTTTTGTGTAACGCTCCACGCGGAGATGAGGCAACCGCCCGGGCGGTGTTTGCGCGGCGTCGGTAAACACCGGCGGGTTACCGGTGGTAAACACCGGCGGGTTACCGGTGGTAAACACCGGCGGGTTACCGGCACGCGGACTCACCTCAACCACGATGCATTGCAGCAGCTGCAATGGCTGCGGAATAGAGGCATAAAAATAAAACATCAGGGCGGACGACGGGAGAGAGGGCCAGGTTACAAAAACAGAATATAAAACGATCAATGAACAGGATTTAGTGGCTGCGTGGTGACATCATTAAAGATTACAGAGCTGGGATAGTGTAAAATCCAATCAGCAGAATTAATCAAAATTTCATCCCCGCACATTTTTTACCCCGGAGTATGAAACCCGCGCCCCATTTAGCAGAGACGTAATGATCACTTCTGGGCGTAACACCCCGTTGTTCAATAAAACTGTAACCGCCATGCAATTCCTCCCAGAAACGCTCGCCCGTTTAAGGCTGGGCATTCAGGCATGCTAACGAATCGCCAACGGGTGTGGGAAATTGAGATTTTTAAATTTCATTATTTATTTCCCTTTTTTTATATATATAAAGCAACACACACAAGGAATTTACAACATGACATCGAGATCCTTACCATTAGTGAACCCTGATTCTTCTGGATCTGGAAATAACCGTGTGGAACGGGAACAAAGTGTGAAAGAGAAGAGACGATTAGCGATTGAACAGAGCGGCGCAAGCAAACAACAACAACCGCGGCCAGCTCTCGTTTATTCGCTGGTGCGGGTCATACACCTGTGCAGCGGGGCAAAACACTGGCTTTGTACCAACAACAATAACAACAACAGCAACATGAAAAATGCCGCTGAAGGAGGATTTACAATTTCGGCTTAATCAGAATCGTTATTCATCCTGGAGAAATCCGATGACCCACGAAGCTCTTCTTCACGGTACGTCCGCTCGGGGCGGGGCCATCAAAGTCTGGCAGCGGGAGGAGTTCGGGGGGAGGAGGAACGCGGGGAGCGGCGAGCGTTGGGGCAGGGACAGGAGCGAGGCTGCTGCTGCTGCTGCTGCGGTGTGCGCGCGAGGGTGACAGGTGTGAGGAAGAGGTGGCACAACAAAGCACCGGGACGAGACAGATGGGACGGGGGGGGGGGGGTGGAAGGGGACGCGCAAACAAGCAACAGCCGAGAGGCTTGGGAGCCAGAGAGCGCGGGCGGCTGAGAGCGAGCGAGCGAGCGAGGGAGATGGGAGAGAGTGAGAGAGAGAGAGAAAGCGGCAGGAGGGGGAGGAGGGTGAAGAAGAGGCAAAGCTCACCCATTACCCGGCCGCTCCAGGCCACACACAGGCATATGTTAAGCCCATTTACATAATGAAAACACACAAATGTTTATCGCTCTTTACCCGCCAAGCAGTGAGGGGCGGGGAAGGGGGGGGGGGGGGGGTCGGGCAGGACGAATCCGCGAGAAATACGACGTGCGGGATAATCAGATGCATCACGGAACACGGCACGAGCGGCAGGAAGCTTGAGATGGGGCTGGCAGTGGGGGGGGGGGGGGCGGCTAAGAGTGGTGGGGGGGCGAGGGGGGCGGAGGGGGATTGATGGGGGAGCACGTCCGCGCCCCCACGGCAAATTGAACCGTAACGAGCGCCGCTCTGGCGTTTGCAACGTGAGAAGATGTGCGACAGTGGAGAGCGAGCGAGGGATTAACACGCGGCGGAGAAAAACTTCCCGTGGCGTCGTCGAGAGGGGGGGGGGGAGGGAGGGCTTGAGAGGGGACCAATAAAGGGACGAGGATAAAAACAAATGTGCAAACAAAAACTAAGTAAAATGCCGTGGCCATCTGCCACGTACCGCTCTTTAGGAGCGGCATTAGGGGCTGCGCGGTGTAGAGGTGGGCGCGGGCAGAGGTGGGCGTGTGTCTCGCCTGAGCTGTGCCAGGGAACACGGCCGGGGGAGAGCCTTCAGCCAGCACTGGATAGATGGTGGCTGACGATGCCGGTGCCAGGAGAAACGCTGCGCAGGACGCCGATGAACCTCCAATGGAACTGGTAGCCGGTCGCTGTAGTTACCGGTCGCTGTAGTTACCGGCAATCAGCTTGCGACGCCAACGTCACCAATTGCCGTGTGAGCGTCGCGCGACACAGACATGAAATCCCGCATTTGGGCTGCAGGTGAGCTGAACAAATTCCAACTGCTAAGGTGCGCGTTTTCTACATTGGAATTACGAGGTGAAATGTTGCATAGCCTCTTCTGCATTTTTATGCTATCAATCGTAACACTTAATAATAGCCATTACTTAGCTATCGATTAGCCTCGCAAAGTACCAAGGCGTTTTTTTTCAGGAGGGTCCTGCCTGGGATGCATGATTTTTGTTCAGTATTTCTGAATTAAATTAACTATTTTTTATTAGGCACACTCTGCACTTGTATCACATTTTTCTTTAAGAATAACAAAACAGGTCTGATGACATTTGCCCACACAGTAGTTACCATGCTTATCTACCCTAGAAAGATGATGGGCCGAGTCAACCCCCCCCCCGCAAACCAGGGTTTGAACTCGCAACCTTCCGGACTGCGAGCCGCTCGCTCTAGCGCTGAGCCACCAGGCCGGTGAATTTATAGCGCTTTGTCTTTTCTCCTTTGAATGGGGGTCACACAGAAAAACGTGAAACTAGGCCAAGAGAGGGAAATGTAATGCAGGCCAAGCACGGAATCCTGCATACATGCACCTTTCGCAAATCATGCATGGCGTGACATTTTTTTGCCTCTTACTATGGTTCAGTCAGTTTAATAAACGCTTTGCTTTTTTTCGGCTTGACTTAAACTTAAAGAGTTTCCACAGCATTCGAACAAAGAAAAAAAAAACACAAATACCAGGCGAGAATAAACAAACACGCTGAGGTAAAGGGCACGATCGCACGGGCGCAGGAATTTTACCTACATACGAATATATAAAGACAAATATTCCCCATATAGCCTCAACATACTTTTGGGGCAAGTGCCGACAGCGAGCACCTATGAAGGCCGGCACTGTGGCACACGAGGGGGTGGGTGGCCAGCACCAAACCCGGCCGCATTTGTCTCCCCCAGTGGCGATGTTTGCACACCACACCAGGTACTAATTTGAAGCTGATTCGATCTAGGGGAGGTCCAGGACCGGTTCTGATAATCATCACCGGTGTTGGGTGTGAGTGGGAACCGAACCCGGGTCGCCGGGTTCGAAGCGCAGCGGCGTTAACCGCTGCACTACCGCTCCCCACAAACACGCGTGCACATACGTACACGCACACACGTACACGCACACACGTACACGCACACACGTACACGCACACACGCACAACGCCCAACACCAGCGGAAGAGCCGGCAGTTTCCCCATGGTAGCAGCAGCAGTAGCACCGGCAGCACCAGTGGCAAACAAGGACAGGGCCAAGGTGGTCGCCACGATTCCTAGAGGTGGCTTCTCCCATTGGAAATCAGTGTGACGACTGTAGCACCAACCCCGTGCCGTTTCCCTTGATAAGATAATGAGAATGTACGAACCTTTGTCGATCCACTGCTGGATGAAGGCCTCACACCATGCCCTGGTTGGTCGCGATGGCTGTCTGGCCGTGCTTTAGCAGGATGGTCAGCGATTGTCGGTGAAGGGCGTGAGGGGGCGTGCCCAGGACCAGTTAAGGTTTCCCTTGCCACTGGAGCGTTAGCCGTTGGCTGGGAAGGTCGCAAATTTCGCAGCAAGGTGAACGAGCCGCTTGCGCCACCGCCGGACAGAACCAATTCGTCGAGCAACGCACGTTGCGTTTTTTTTCCGTCTCTCAACAGCAACTGCACCTCGGTTGCGACTGTTGGCGTGATGTCGTCGGCACACAAAACTGCGACCTTGAACCCGACCGACGTTTTGGGGAACGGTTCGGAAAGACGGCACCACGGAACTACTGCACGGCTCGCTTGAATCAGGGCCCTCTCACCCAACACTGGGCGGCGCTCAGTGTCCGGCTCGTGGCCAATCATCCAGGTTCAAACGTTATTCCGCACGCGACACTAAGTGAAAACCCAGTTCAATGTGTGCAGTTATTGGAGCCCTTCTGGGACCACTGACCAGCAGGCCACGGGAACCTTGTTTACTCTCTGCTGGCCACAGCTCGGAGTGGATGCCAGGAACTCAGCGGTGTGCAATTGTCATCCTGCCGTCAGTTAAATGCTTCAGCGTTGGGGAACCGCTCCGGAAGATGAGGTCTCAGATCTACTTCGGAGGCCACTTCAAAGTGGCCCCTTTAAACCGCACCAGCGCAGCGCTGGCGACCGCTGAGCCAGCCGGTCACCTCCGCTGGCTCGTCACTGCTAAAGTCAAAGGTTAAAATGTGCCTCCCTGCCGACAACCACTAACGCGATCGCACGTGGGGTTTTTATTTCCTCCACGTCCAAACCCCCCCGTGTTTTTTTTGCGGAGCGAGCGATCTCCCCCATCCCCGCCACGCCTCCCCCCCCCCCCCCCCCCCCCCCCCCCCACTCGGGCCTCTCCTCCTTTCCGCTAACGAGGTTAATTACTACGGCGGCCGAGAGAGCGGGGCTGCTCAGGTGGGTTTGGGCTTCGGCACAGCCGGAAAAAAAAAGAAAAAAAGATCGTCCCTTTTATGTCCATATTGTAACGGAGACGGTTATTAACGGCCGGCGCGGCTTATTGCGGTTGCAATTTTCTCGGTAAGCCATCTCTCCCCCCCCCCCCCCCCCTTTGGAATCATAATTATTGGGAAGTATTTAAAGCGAGGGGTGGGCTGGTGCACAGCATCTAATGAGGTTATTAAATATAGACTAATATGCATCATGCTGTTCCTGGCCTGAGCAGTGAGAACTTTTCATTTTGGCTGGCAGTTAACGCTACGAAACTTTAATTATAATTTAGACTTAATTTAAGAGCCGTGTTAAAGGCGGGGTTGGTTGGTGGGGGCAGTGAGGAGGAGGGGTGATGGGGAGGTTGCCCGCCGGGGGGGGGGGGGGCATGGGATCGGAGGAGAATGAAAACTCTAAGAAAAGCAAATCATTACCATATTTGCTCCGCGCGTCATTTTCACATCTCGATGCTTAAGACTGAAGTTTGGAGTTTTAGTTGCGATTCGCGCCTGGACACCGTCGCTTCACGTTTGTCGACGCAGGACGGAGGGGAGGAAATGAGATGCGGCGGAGGAATGGAGCGAGAGCGACGGGGGGCGGGGGGGGGAGATCGACAGAGAGATGGCGACGGGGGAGACAAGAAGGGTGGGAGTATAAGGGGGTGGGGGGGGGGGCACGGTACGGTGTGTTAAAGCGGTGACGGTGGTATTTGGCGTAGCGGTGGGGGGCACACGGAGGGAGAGAGGGGGTTGTGTAGCGGCGTAGTGGGTGGCGGTAGCCTCCGCTGCTCGGAAATCCCAGCATGCATCTGCAGTTCAGGCATAATCAGTGATGTCACACAGCTAAAGGTCAATCGAATCGCTAAGTAAAAAGGCCGACGACAGGTGGCCACTCACAGAACAGCGGGAGGATGGGATAAAAATGAGCATCGCCCCGTGTGAGCGAGAGGGAAGAGGCGCGCGGAGCGGGCGAGCGAACGGGCGCGTGAACGCGCAAGCACACGGCCGTGGCGCTTCACCAATCGGAGCGAGACCGGGCGAGAGATTGCGGTGGTGGGGGGGGCGGGGGGGGGGGGGCACGGTGCCGAGGGGAGGGGGGAGGTTGCGGGAGGAAAGAAAGAAATAGGGGGCGAGATGGGGCGATCGTGAGGGGGGGAGAGAAGGGGATGTGAAAATGGTTGGGAGTTTGGGGGGGGCAGCTGGGCCACAGAGAGAGAGAGAACACGGAGCCTGGGGTCTCTCGGAGCCCTTGCACCGGTATGCGCGAGCGGTGGCAGATGTGCCTGCTAAATTGTTTTTTTTTTTACACTTGTTTGGGTTCCCAACGTGACCCATTTGTTACCGTCCCCCCCAGGTAAAGGCACCCCCCCCCCAGACATATCATCTGGAGCGGCGTTACGTTACAGAGAGCAGGGGAAGAGACACCGCACGCGCGTCTCAATAGTGGCGCGCGCTCTACGGGCAAAAGACGGCGTGCAGGCGAGCGTGACGCCCCCCCCCCCTCCCCCACCACCACCACAATAAAATAAATAAAGACTTGCATAGCCGTGCGAAGCCAAAGCGTGTGCCGTGCAATTTAATTAAACTACAATTCGCAAACTGATCTTTGGTTGAAGTTCTCAAATGAGTGACCTTTATTTTTTTAGACATGGGTCGAAATAACAGCATTATGCACCTTGTGTTTGTACTGCATATATATGTACGACTATCTCTTACGGTGACCTGAATGTCATGGGAAGCAATAATGGAGGTACAACAAGCCAGTGGCTCCCTCGAAGAGCGCTCAACGTAAGGACAAAAGTCGGAAATCGATTTGACATCCCTGCGTGTGTGTGTGTGTACGTAGCATTGGCAACTCCCCCCCGCTCCCAATTTAGCTGGAGACCGATGCGCTAAGTGCTGTTCGTGAACACCTATCAACTCAAACACAGCACAAAATAAGAGTGATGTGGTCAGCACCATACCCGGCTTGCCTTTGACTCCGCATTGATAATGTTTTACGCACTACACCAGCTATTCACTTTCGGGTGGGGAGAGTCGGAACAGGTTTGAGTATTAAATTCCAGCGTGGTGCTGGTGTTGTACATCATGGGTATGAATTGAATCCACTGGGACTATAGTACTACGCATTAACTGCAACACATGAAGATGAATAAAGATTCTGATTCAAACCCAGCTGAGTTGGTCTCCCAATTGCTCCTGTACATACATGACAATGGTGACGCATTAAGGGCCGAGTTGACCGAGGGGAGGCCCCGGACAGAGTCCGATACAGCCCATCACCGATGTTGGCCACTGCGGTGAATCAAACACAGGTCGCCGGGGTCACAGCTAACCACCACACCACCGACGGCAGCGATCCCCAGGCAGCGTGCGATTGCACGCTCGCTACGATACCCTGTTTGGCAATTGTATTTAAAAGCAGCAAAAGGTCACTAATAAACAAAAGGCTAATTTTTTACATGGAGCAGAATATTAAACGTGCCAGATGTGAAATCGCAGGGAATGTTTTTTCCTATTCCCTTTTTTTTGGGGGGGGGTGGTGGGGGGGGGCAGCAGAGGGAAAGAGAGAGGGGCGGTCTGTGCTGCAGCAGCTAATTTTCAAACATAATGAACAATCTTACCTGCGGGTACGGGAATCTCCCAAGAGCCAGCTAGAGAATGGATGAGAGGGAGGAGAGGGGTAACGGGGGAGGGAGAGAGAGAGAGAGAGACAGACAGAGAGCGAGAGCAGAGAACGAACAAAAAAACGAATTAACTTTTACATCTAATTACTACCGACAACGATTCTCCTTAAAACATTTAGGCCGGCGCGTAATTCAGTATCAAGCTTCAACGCAAGAAAAAAATCAGCCTCACTCAAAAGTCACGTCACGGGGCTTGTGAACGGGTAACCGTGGGGGGCGTAAATGCAAACAAATAGATAAATTCACAACGCGATGCAATGAATCCTAACGAGCTGCAAGGTGAACGGAAAGAAAATGAGCGCGGTCTGGTGAGCCACCCACACCCCGCGCGCGTTGACCAATGACGAATGCAAGGCAGTCGCAGCAAGGCGTTTAAAAGCCCAGAAAGCTGATGAGTGTTTTGCCCGTGATTAATTTTTTGCATGGTAAGATGGATTAAATACTACTCGGCTCGTAATCTGCTTATAGCTCTTTTGCCACATAGTTTGCCGTTTTCTGGCAATGATTACACGTGAAAATAATAATAATCATCGTCATCGTCTTCTTTGTTGAGTGCAAACGTCGCACCCACGCTGCGAATTAAAACCTGTGCCGTTTGCTTAAAAATGTTCCGTTTTGTGGTGAGGATTGTGATTAGACTGCATGGTAACAAGGACAGCAGCGTTTTATCAAGGGGAACATGGTGATGCGAGTTGTAGGGTGTTCAATGGGGGGCGGGGGGTGCAATGATCCGGTTGAATCTTGCAAGCTAAGGCAATGTTGAGCCCGGACAGGTTCCTTGAAGAGCGACCACCATGCATGAAACGGTTTTAAGGGGCTGCTGCGGCCACTACCTGGCAAGGCAGTGCATCCAAACCCACGGTTGTACTGTACTATACTCCCACATTCATACTCCCTGCGTTCACAAAACTGGCACTGACTATGATCGAACGATCGCTAAGACCGACATAGCGTGGGAAGTGTTTAACCTAAACTGGCTATTGACATCATGCCAAAGATATCCCCGTATAGTCGTTACAGAATTTTGGGGCATGTGCTATTAGCGGGCACCTTTGAAAGTCAGCACGCCACGCAAGAGGGCAGGTGGCCAGCACCGCGCTCGACCACCTCTGTCTCCCCAGTGACAAAGGCAAGCTGGGGAATAGTCAAAGGTGTTGGACATCAGCGGGAATCGAACTAAGTTGGGCGGGTTCGTAGCGCAGCGCAACTAACCCACTCCTCCACAGACATCGTACCACCACCGCATCCTAAAACTCGCCACAAATACCCGCAACAATTTTGCGGAGCAAAAAATACTAAATACGGATGGATGAAAAAAACAGTCTTCCATTTTTACTTCATTTTGTAAAAGGAGAAAAAGATTTACACCGCGGGTTTTGTTTTGTAGGGGGGGGCAAGGTGGAAACGTTTTGACAATTCAATCACGTGTGGCAATGGCTGCCCCCGACCAATCCAAGCTGCAACTTCAAATTCTTCAAATTCGTGTCACTGCATTAAATCTCGCATTATATATATAAAAAAAACAATTTAATTAATCAAACATCTGTGAGTTTTAATAACGCATTTCGGCTCAATACATATTCATCAGACTGCCGCGGAACTTTCTCTAGTTGTAAGCTCGCTGGGTGCCATATGGCTTTACGGAGGAAAAACAACAGTCAAGACTGCAATTAAATAGGCCGGGGATTACGGGGTTTCTTTTTTCCTCCCTTCTACTTTCAACACAGTTGGGGCAAACAATCTGCTGAAAAGAAATTAACGGTAAAGTATGAAGACATATGTATGGGCAGCCTGCTTGCCGATACACTGCTGAACGATGGCCTTTCCCCTCCCCCGTGTGCTCCTGCAGATATGTCAAGCAGGGGTCATTTGGCCATGCTTTGACCACCAGGCTGGTCAGTGCGGACTGGTGAAGGTGGGTGCGTGAGGATGCATATATGGTATGTTGCAAACCGTGCTCATCGGAGGTGTGGGTCGATGAACAAACTAAACACAAAAATCAGTTCTAAAGAAATGCGTTCTCAATGTAGCATAGTGGGTGGTGTAGTATCTAGTATAGTGTATTGTAGTGGAGTATATAGTGGTGTCATGTAGCGGCTAGCACGCTGCGCTACGAACCCAGTGGCTTGAGTTCGATTTCAGCTCACGGGCCAACACAGCTGACGATTATCTGAACTGGTCCTGGGCCTCCCCTAGGTCAAATAAGTACCGGGTGCAGTGTGTAAACATCGCCACTTAGGGAGACATAGGCGGCCAGGCGTGGTGCTCGTCACCCACCCCCTCGTTGGCTGTGCCGGCCTTCATAGGTGCTCGCGAATAGCACTTGCCCAAACAGTCTGTTCAGGCTATACGGAGGATCTTTGTCTTGGTCTGCAGCACTGCCCCTCTGCTGCCAACAACGCCTACTACATCTGATTTTGTGCATGGCGATGACCATTCCAAGCACTATCCAGGTTCAACCATGCTTAGCTTCTGATGGAATCGAACGTGCTGAACAAGAAATATGCCATGGTGTTTGATTAGGCATCATCCAGTGCACGAAGAAGACCACTGCGCAATTTTCTGCAAACAAACCTATGATTATATCAATCATGAAGTTGTGCAGAAAGCTTCACCAATTCTCGTGATGGGTTTTTTTTTTGGTACGGGATGAACAAGCATAAGAAGTTGGATACATTTAAATGTTTTCTACAATGCCATTCCAATTGTACCACCGCCATTTGTCATGAGATGAAGCAATGTCCATTCAGCAGTGCATCACCCAACGTTAGACAACGGTCTGCGGAAGCAGATTTCACAGAACTACATGCGAGATCCCTTCAAAGTGACATTTTTTTGTTAATTCGTGCACCTGGGGACGCATTTTTACACATACACTGCGACAACATCAAAGGCCATAATGTGGCAAGCTGATAATGTTGAATTCTCAAGAGCTGGAATTTATGGAAATGTAATCATGGGTTTTGTTATGTGCAGTCATTGATAACTTGGCTGAGGCCATCAACTTACGAACCCAGTTTAATCATGGGTGGCTGCAACCCTGAGTTGAACCCAGAACCTCAGCGTTACCAGCTTACGTGGTGTGATGCCTGATCACTGCAGAGCATGTTTAACCACATTTTATAATTTTGATTTAAAGCTTTCGTGACTGCAGGGATTCATATTCTTGGTTCTTTCGGTAAAGTCACTTTACCGAAAGAACCAAGAATACACATTTTATAATTTGTATTTTTTTTCCATCTGGGAAGAAATTAAGTTTACGGAGATAACCAACACTGGCAAGAGAAAAACTCTAAACTTTTCACAGTTGTAGCGGTGGTAATGCACTTAATGTCACCATTTTAACAGCAAAAGTAAATACGTGTACATTCTGCAAGCAGTCATTAATTCAGATACCACATACACAACCTGCAGTGTGGGTGTGTGCGCATCCAGTATATCTAGAGGATTTTCTCCCAATCATTTTAATTATGTTCAGGGCAAGGTGGATTTAATTGAGCACAAATATAGTTGAATTTATGCTTAATAATAACTATGGTGATGCACTACTAAATTAAGGCCTCCCTATGCCGCGTTGGCCGTGGACATTGTGTGAGCATGCTTTGCCATGTTGGTCAGTGTGGGCTGTAGGAACAGCTCAGTTATCAATCTCCGGTGATGTTAGCCACATGGCTCGTGAAATGAACTCAGGTCGCTGGGTATATAGTGCAGTTTGATAACCGCTGTGGTGCCCCTCCACCCATATGCTAAAAGCAGGACACACATTTTAGGGGGGAATTTAGGTATCTATAAAAATCGTGGTTCAAAGGAGTGTGAACAATTTAGTCTAAACTTATATATTGCCTTACCTCTTCTACTGCACATTAAAAATTATACACCATCCCTGCCATCGGTGAACCAAACCATTCCGCTCCTGTAGAGTGTGACGTTAAAGCAGATAGAAAGCTCGCTACCGATTAATGGCATAACATATCCTTAATTACTTTGTCTTCACAGTGTGTCCTGAGGTTAACAAACTTCTCACGACGACCTTGAACAGTTCACACAAAAAAATGTTAATCACGTAAATTAATTGGTGTGCTTGACACACAGAGACAAAGATCCCCCATATAGCCTTTAACAGACCGCTGGTGCAAGTGATATTAATTAGCAAGCACTTATTAAGGCCTACATGGCACACGAGGGGGTGGGTGGCCAGCACCATGCTTGGCCACTCTTATCTCACCTATGCTGATGTTTACTACAGATCGCACCAGGTACTCATTATAAGGCTGAGTCGACCTAGCGGAATCCCAGGGCCTGTTAAGATAATCCTCAATGGTGTTTTGCCACAATCGGGAATCGAACTCAGGTCGCCGTGTTCGCAGCGCGCTAACCGTTACACTACCGCTTGACACACACACACACGGGCGCACCGCGTACAACAGTAGTATTGAGGTTTTGCTGTTTTAGAGCAATTTTACAAAAAAGATAACCACTTGTGCTTCGAGGTTGAATGCCACATGACGAAAATTGAAAGCTGCGACTGTTTGTCGCATTGTTTACAATAAACAAATATCCTGCCAGAAAATGATTTTTTTTTGTATCTGGCCCCCGTGCCCCCTGTACCTTCGTCAGGTCAACAAATCTCAACTGCGCTCTTAGCACTTCGCTCTTGGTGGCTCTGACAATTCCACGTCTCGGCTGCATGGAAATTCAAAATCCATCAACGTGTAGGGGGGCGGCGGGGGGAGGAATAAAATATTTGACTACCTGTATCAAAAATCCCCCCCCCCCCCCCCCCCCCCCCCACATCAGAACGGTTTTGTGCTCACAAATCTCCAACAATCCGACGGGCACCCTCCAGAATAATCTCATTCGGAACCAGTTCCTGACGGGCAGCGACGCTACATCCATATAATGGTTTATTTTGATCAACGAGAAACGTCGCAACGTGGCGCGTAACTCGTGCTTAAAAGTTTAAGGCC